AAAGAGTGTAGATGGCATGAAGACGTGAAGACAGAAGAAGACGAGAAATCGATTCAAATTCACATATTCTATCTCTTCCTCTCCTTGGTATGTGTCATGTATAAGAAATTAAGCAAAGATGGGGGAAAATCATGAAGTAGATGTGCATGTCCTCCATGATCCCTTTCTTGTTAGCTTTTGCATTGAAGGTTTGCATTATATTCTTTGGTTGCAAAGATGATCCCTCACCAATATAAACACTCAGAATTTGATGTTATTCCAATCTCCATTGATATACCCCCTTCTTGCTAGTTTGATCAGAAAAACGTAGTCACAGTTTCATACCCAAATGTTTGATCATTGCACCTAATTCCTATCACAAAAAACATACAATTCTTTTTATACCACATAATTCTTGTTTTTAGAAAAAAGAAAATTAGAATTGTACATATAATCCAACACACAGAAATCGTTGTTTCTTCATGGTTGGTGAGGTGAGGTCATCTGGTTCTCATTTTTAAACCAGAGGCTGACAAATATGACTCACTAAGGTGCCACTTGGAGGTCTGCATATAACCAAAACACTTGCATGGCTTGGCTACACCTACATTTACAATTATAACCGTCCCACTTTTGCATCCTAACAAAATGCATCCAGTAGGTAAAAACCAAAAAAAATTTACCCTCTTTACTGTTCATTTTCATCATGGTAGAAATTTACCCGCTTTACAAATAGAAATAACCCATTAGCCATACCCCCTTTATTACGAGGTTGTAGAAATTTACACAAACAAAAAAACACACGAAAACGAACAAGACCACCCTCCATACTCGACTAAAATATACTCAGACGAGAAACGTGGCCGGCCGGATCTCTGGCCTTGCCTCAGTTTGGGGTTAGGGTTTCTCTAACCACAAGCAAACCCATGAAACCAAACAGAAAGGCTGAAACTTTATCAAACCCTCGTTGAGTTCTCCATGGATTTCGTGGAATTGGAGGCAATCGAAGGCCTCCGATGGTGCTGGAACTCATGGCCAGCTTCAAAAACCGAGAGCACAGATCTAGTGATCCCTTTGAGCATCATGTGCACGCCATTGATGCAACAAGCTGAGCTCCCAGTACTTCCCTACGACCCAGTCACTTGCCGCCAATGCGGCGCCGTATTGAACCCATATGCCCGGGTCGAATACACGTCTCGCATCTGGTTCTGCTCGTTTTGCCTCCACAAGAACTCCTTCCCTCACTCTTACTCTAACATCGGAGAGACAAATCTCCCCGCAGAGCTTTTCCCGACTTACAGCGCAGTCGAGTACGCCAAAACCGCGAACCCAGTTGCGAATTCCGGCCCCAACCACAACTGGGCAAATGGGTTGTCCTCGTCTTCCTTGTCGTTGTCGTCTATGGTGTCGACGGCGCCCTCTTCTCTGCCGGATGGAGATCCGAGAGGGGTCAGACCGGCGTTTGTGTTCGTTGTAGACGCCTGTACGTCTGGGGAGGAGCTTGGGGCTCTCAAAAATGAGCTCTTGCTTGTTGTGGAGCAACTCCCAGAGACTGCTTTGGTGGGTCTGGTCACGTTTGATTCAATGGTTCGAGTTCATGATCTTGGGTTTTCGGAGTGCTCGAGGGCCGTGGTGTTTCACGGAGCACGGGAGCTTTCATCACATCAGGTACTTGGTTCTTCTTCACTTGGCATATTGGTGTTAAAGTAGAAATGTGCATTAGAAGTTATATTGCTCGTGCTTCTAATTATCTTCTTTAGCTTTCAGTGCATGGTTCAATATGAAGGTGCTTTGTATTGGGGGTAATAATGCTTGGATATGAATGAGTTGCTTTAGGTAGTTTAGAAGATTTTAAACGTTTTGTGGAAGTATGTAGAATTGGGAGTTTAATTTTGAAGCAGTCCATTTGGTAGTCTGTAGTTAATACCTTGAGAATAGTTGAGTTTTAACCAATAAGTTATACTACTTCCAGCAATTTTGGTATCTGTAGAAATCTCATTGCCATTCAGGTTCAGTTTCTTGAATGTTCCCAAAAAATAGTGCTCCTGCCCTTTAAGCATTGGCCTCCATGTTTGGTCAGAAGTTGAAATTTCTTCTAGGCCAATTGGTCCAGCTTACTTCTGCTTTTATTCTTCCTGATAGAGTGTCCTGTGCCTTAATATGAATTTCTGAGTTTGCTTATAGAAATGTTAACTCATCATGTGTGTAATAGGAATTTAATGCGTTGCACTTTTTTGAACTCTTAGACCCAACAATTTCTGGGCATTAAACGACCAACATACCAGCAACTCGGAAAGATGTCAGTTAATCAAAAGCAGGGCTTTTTGGTACCGGTATCTGAATGTGAGTTCAACATCACTACTGCAATTGAAGAGATCCATTCTTCACTTCTAGGCAAGCCTGGCCATCGCCCACTAAGGTCTACAGGAGTAGCAATATCAGCTGCAGTTGGACTTCTGGAAGGATGCTCTGTGAGCACGGGCTCCAGGATCATGGTCTTCACTTCTGGACCTGCAACTTTGGGTCCAGGAATTATTGTTGATTCAAATCTAGGCAATTCCATCAGAACTCACCGAGACCTCATCAATGGTCACACACCTTATTATGGTAGATCTTGCAGCTTCTATAGGCAAGTGTCGCAGAGGTTAACTGATGCATCTATTGTTCTCGATTTGTTTGCTTGTTCTCTTGATCAAGCTGGAGTGGCAGAGCTGAAAGCCCCTGTTGAGAGTTCCGGTGGTTTCATGATGCTAGGTGAGTCATTTGCGTCAAATCAATTCAGAAAATGTTTGCGCCACATTTTTACTCATGACGAAGAGGGGTATTTGAAGATGTATTTGGATGCTACTATTGAGATAGTGACCACTAAAGATGTTAAAATCTGTGGAGCCCTAGGTCCTTGTGTATCTCTTCGGAAAGTCAACAATTTAGTGAGTAGCAGTGAGATTGGGGAGGGTGGTACCTACGTGTGGAAGTTGGGTACAATCACCAATAAAACATGCATTGCTTTTTTCTTCCAAGTGAGTAATGAGCAGAATGTTCAACCTGGGTCGGCATTCTTCATACAGTTCATAACACGATACCGATATGGGAACATGGGAGTCCGGAAAAGGGTGACAACTGCTGCAAGAAGATGGGTTGGGAACCGTTCACCAGAAATTGCTGCTGGGTTTGATCAAGAAGCAGCAGCCTCAGTGATAGCCAGACTTGCTATTCACCGAGCCGAGACTTGTTTTGCTCGAGATGTTATCAGATGGCTGGATGACACGTTGATCCAATTTGCTTCCAAATTTGGAGACTACGCTGAGGAAGATCCATCTTCTTTCCGCTTGACATCCAACTTCTCCCTGTTTCCTCAATTCATGTATTACTTGAGGAGGTCTCAGTTTATTGATGTCTTTAATTGTAGTCCGGATGAGACAGCTTTCTTCCGGCTGATGCTGAATCGTGAGGGGGTGGTGGGTTCTCTTATCATGATCCAACCCACACTTTTCCAATATTCCTTTGATGGTCCACCCGTTCCTGTCCTCCTAGATGTCCGCTCCATATCTCCAGATGTTATTTTGCTCTTTGATTCATACTTCCATGTGGTTATTCATTACGGGTCCAAAATTGCTCAATGGAGGAAGCTTGGGTATGACAAGGACCCAAACCATGAGAATTTGAGGAAGCTGTTGGAAGCCCCGGAAATAGATGCAGAGCAGTTGGTGGCTGACCGAGTTCCTGCACCTAGGCTTATTAAATGTGACCAGCATGGTAGCCAGGCAAGGTTTCTTCTTGCAAAGTTGAATCCATCTGTTACCCAAAATTCAACATACTCTAATGGCTCAGATATTATTTTTACTGATGATTTGAGCTTGCAAGTATTTTTAGATCACTTGCAGGTCCTGGCAGTGCAAGGCTGATGAAGAGGAGCGCTGTATATATCTTTTTTTGATTAACCGATGTCATAGAAAAGAAATTTTTGTGTATATTTGATGAGAGAAAGGTGTGTAGTTTGTATTTACCAACAGTTGATGCTTTTGAGTACGAATCATACGTTTTTTTAAAAATGTTTTTTGCGTTTTCCATTGTCTCTTTTCATATCATTTTTGTCACTAGAGTTCAAGCGGTTGTCTCAGTTTCCCGCAGTTTTGATATTGAATGAATACAAGTAGTTGCTGATCTAGTGTTTATGATATTAGCTTCTTCCCTGGTTGCATCTTTTATAGCTCTTCTTTATAATAAGTCACTATTTATGTTCATTCACATTGGCAAATCATAATTTGAATGATTTCTTAGGCACTGGCCCTTCTGGTCATTTTTGCTCCTGTTTGAGGAAGGCTTCTCTGGTCTCATGTTAGATAGGGTGAAACTGTGGGGTTGTTATCTGGTATTTTGGTGGCCCCTTTGTCTCCATTACAACTTGATTTGGATGCTGTGGTAAGTGATTTGTTCTTGGAACCTGGTTGTTGGAACATTCATCTTCTAGTACAGGTTCACTTCGGGCGATTTTGGTCTACCCTTATGTCACTCAATCCGCCACCATTTTTCTTCAGATTTAATCAATGAGATGAAACCTCTTATAATATTGCGAAAATAAATATCACAACACAAAGTTTTTAATATTTAAATTGCTCATTTAGGTAATTTAATAGAGGGGTAAAACTGTAATTAGGCGTTTTTAAAAGACGGATGGAATTGTTGATAAATACAAAAATTGGAAACCTTTGTGACATGTTTAATTACCGGGAATGAGTTGTGATGAGTATTGGAGTAGTTCATCCAATTCCAATTATAATTCCTTCTCTTTTACTTCATAACATGATTGATTCTTTTTTCTTTTAACGACTATCGGCCATGAAATTTGAACTAGAAGACCTCATCCAATAGGATGAAGACTAGATGCCACTAGAAGAAATGGTCATTGGCCTAAACAAGTCATTGTAGACACAAGTACAAGATCAACACACCAAAACGACTAGTAAATGATGTTCTTTCAGTCATAACACCACTTCTTTTCATTTAAGTTATAACGTGTACAAAATCTACGTAGTCGATTGACAGCGATGAGAGTTAGTTGACAAAATCGATTAAAAACAAGAGGTATTGCCATTTTTAAATTACTATCTTTATTAGTTACCAAAGCAGTCACACGTAGTGTCACTGAATGTAGCACTTTGTTAGAGTCAGAAAAGCGCTTATATACATTCGCTAGACCACAAGAAAGAAAATCCTGAAAGGAAAGCGACTGAAAGGAGAGAGATAGGAGGAGTGTAGATCGTATGAAGATGTGAAGACTAAAGAAAGACGAGAAAGAAATCGATTCAAATTCAGGTATTCTATCTCTTCCTCCTCATGTTTGTAGGTATGTGTAAAGTGTAAGAAATTAAGCAGAGATGGGGGAAGATCATGAATTAGATGTGCACGTCCTCCATGATCTCTTTCTTGTTAACTTTCGCATTCAAGGTCTGCATTATATTATTTGGTTGCGAAGATGATTTCTGATAAGGAAAACAAGAGATTTTCAAGAATAAAAGAAAGAAAACACATTTCTCTTCTTCCTTTTTTCTTTTCTGCTGAGAAATTGTTTTTTTGAATTCCGTTGATGTAATTGATGTGCACAACAAAAATTTCCCTCATCGATATAAACACTAAACAAATTTGATGTTATTACAAAATCTCCATTGATTATACTCCCTCATTGTTAGTCAGACTAGAGAAAGATAAGCATAGTTTCATACCCAATTGTTGGATCATTGCACCTAATCCTATTAAAAATAAAAATAAAAAACCTTTTTGCTTTTTGTATCAGCCCCAAATTTTTGTTTTGGTACCACATAATTCTTCTTTTTCGAAAATAAAAATAAAAATATACAAATAATCCAACACACAGAAATTGTTCTTTCTTCATGGTTGGTGAGGTGAGGTCATTCAGGTCCTCAGCTTTAAACCAGAGGCTGACAAATATGACTCACTGAGCTGCCACTTGGAGGCACAACTGTCTGCGTATAACCAAAACGCTTGCATGGCTTGGCTACATTTACAATTTATAACCGTCCCAGTTTTGCATCCTAATAAATTTGTCTCTTTTTCCTTTTTCTAATGAGGTAAATAAGTAGCTAATCAAACAGCACAAAATGTATGATTAGGTAAATACCAAAGTTACCCTCTTTGCTTCTCTTTGCTTTTCATTTTAATCATCCGTCAATCTGTAAAGCCCTCCTTTTCTTGTCTCCCCTTTGTTCATCTTCCTGCTATGAAATTGACCCAATTGGAACCAAATAATATCACTTTGCTCCTCTCACTTTTCTTTATTATTTTATAATTATATTGAACCTCATGGCCAAGTAGAAGGTATGACGAATGCTTCTACTTGCAAAAATAACAAACTTACCAAGGAGGACAAAAGAGAGAAAAAGAAAAGTGTAAAACATACTCTTCGTATTCACTCCAAACATAAAATTCTAACTCACCCTTTCTTAAAACTCTACTGTCAACGGGGTCTAGCCCATTGAAAATGACATTGACTTGCATATTAGTAGTCTCATATTCGAACCCTTATGGCACTATGGTAGTGTGTATACAAGAAACTCCCCCTCCCCCTGTAGTTTAGACGATTACTTGCACTGAAAAAAACCCTACTTTCCATTATTCTCTCCCACAATCTTATACACAAATCACACTTCCATACTCTTATATGTTGTTTATGTCATTTGTTTGAGTTATGGAATAACAAATCATCCTTTCCTAGCATTTTTATCATGAAGAGCAGTTTCTGGACATAGATTTTGCAAGTTGGATTGAATTGGTGTGTTCTTTGGTGGTGAATTTAAGAATGCAGAATTTATTTTTATTTTTTCCCCAAAGAATCTCACTCATTCATCGTCTCACGCAGCTACTTGATTATTTTTGTTTTGTCTTATATAATTGCCTCATGCAATTCCAATCCACTAATGAATAAGAAAGTGCTTTGCATTAAGGACAAGGTCGGTCGTGATTCTCAAAGTTCACACAAAACTTTGAGTCTTTGACTCTCTCTTATCCAATTTCAACTAACACATACACATCCACATCCACATCCACATCCACAACGCATGAGTATTATCTTCTTCAAGTCTACATGAAAACCCAAACATATTTTTAGGGCATGGCAAAAAATCCACAGCACCAATACATGATTTCCACATGGCCCTCGCTAACGTACGCTGGAAATCACATAGCAAAAGAGAAAAATACAAGAATAAAGGGGGAAACTTAAAAAGGGTTTAAAGTGCAAACTTACCCAAGAAAAAAGAAAAATACAACCCCTTTTTGGATTTTTGGTTTGGGTAAGAATTAATTTGAAATTGAAATTGAAATAAACCCTTTACGTAGACACACGCACACCCCAAAACCACACCAAAAAGAAAAGAAAAACTTGTGGGCTGAGGGAAGGTGCAGTTTAACCCCCTAAACACCATGGGCGTACCTGAACACAATGTCTATATGTGTCTGTTTCTTTGAACTAGTTAGCCTTCGTAACAACAACAATACACGTAGTTGTAGTTTTTTTTTTTCATGCTGTGTTATGGGTTTGTTTTTATGTTTTTGGAGGTGAGATTTTAGCTATTGAGCCTCGAACAGATCATCAATTCAACACCAATCCCATTGTCCATTGTCCAAATCGAACAAGACCCTTTTCTCTTCGAATACCTCCAAATCCCACCCTCCCTCCACACAACAAACACACTCTCCCCTTCCCTCCCTCTCTTTTTTTTTTCTCTGTTTTTTCTCGCCCACCAAACACGACCCAATAGCTATCATCAAGGCATAGAATCAGAAACCCCGTATTGGGTTTTGTTTGGATGCTCGATTTCTTGGTGATTCAATTCTAGTTGTTTAATTTCTCGTCCAGAATATTGAAGGTGACATGCACCATGTGATGATGTTGTTGTTGGTACGTGAATTATAAAAATAAAAGAATACAACTCTGTCTCTGTATGTTGTTTTGAGTCTCTCTCTCTGCTCTGTGTCAGTGTCCAATGCCAATGATGAGTAGCCAGGTGGTGAAGAGAGAGAGAGCAAAACTCGAAGCTTGCATGACATGTCCACTCTGCAATAAACTCTTCAGCGAGGCCACAACCATATCCGAATGCCTTCATACCTGTCAGTACCTCTCTCTCTCACTCTGTGTTTTGCTTTTCATGTTGATACAATTCTATGTCTTTTTGGATCTGATTTCATGTGTTGTGTTCCTTTTCTTGACATGGGTTCTTTTGGTACATACTATATATGTGGCAAGTCATTAACTTTCCTAGAAAATCCTGGAAAATTGTGATCTTGTTGGCACAATGGCTCTGGGTTTATAGGTTTGATTGTTCTTTAAGAAAAAGCTATTTTTGAATCACTGTGAGTCATATACATGTTGATATTATTATTAGGTAATATGGAAGAACTGCAGAGCCACTATGCTTTGCGGGACTGTAATTGTGAATAGGACTTTAAAGATTTACCCGCATTCTTAGAGGACTTGGCAAGTTCATGTAGGTAGCATGCATGCCTCCAATGTTTGTTTCTCCTTTTAAGGGCTTTGATTGTCAGAAATTTTACTTAATTCTCCATGTTTTTTTTACTCATTCCTCCTCTAATCTGTTGGTTTCTTTCTAATTTTGACTCAAGTGTATGGATGTGATCTGCGTTAATGTTTTATGTGCCCCATTCTCACAACCTGTTGGTTTCTTTCTAATTTTGACCCAAGTATTCGGATATGATCTGCATTAAATGTTTTATTTGCCCCATTCTTGCATGGAAGCAGATCAAATGAGCTGCATGTTAATTTTCGTTCTATGAATCAATATGACTCGTTTATTTCGGTTTTGAGAACAGTTTGCAGGAAGTGCATATATAAGAAGATAATAGATGAAGAGGTGGATTACTGTCCAAAATGCAAGGCTCATTTAGGGGTTTCTCCACTGGAAAAACTCAGGTATTTGATTATCTAATCTATGTTTATAAATGTTTAAACATTGACTACTCACAGAATGCATGGGGTCCCTTTTTTTTCTTTTTCAGTTGTAGCAGGGGATCTTTCTCAATCTTCCATGAGATAAATTTTACTCGATAAGAAGATGTTAATACTTTGCATATGAGGAATATGAGTTCTGAACTAGCAGTAGCCCATTTTAGTGACTTTACAAGACATTTTCCTAATGTGTGAATGTTTCTTACTTGTTCCATTTTCCATTGTTACCTCAACTGGTGACCAAATATATAGTTGTCTTCGGAAATTTTCTTTTCTCTTCTATTGAAATTTCTTGATGGCCTAACATACACTAGCAATTGTAAATATCAGCAATCTTTGAATCTTGATCAAATGTGAGCCTGTGTATTTACTGCAAGATATCGTTGATTATTCTTGAGGCCATGGCTCAATCTATATCTTATCCACTTGAGAGAGACACAATTTTGAGAATTGATAATATGACTAGAGCAGAGATCCATGCTTGTTTTATGCTTGTTTTTTTCCTTCTTGTCTACAGGGCCGACAACAATTGGGAAGATATAAGGGCCAAGCTCTTCCCTTCTGACAGAAAAAAGGTCAACGCAGCTGCAGACCACAATGTGCAAGATATAAAGGAAAAGACCGTCCCTTCTGAAACAAAAGAGTTTAAGGCACCTGCAGACCGCAATATGCAAGATATAACGCCAAAGCTCTTTCCTTCTGAAAGAGAACAGGTTAAGGCACCTTCTGTGTCCTCAGTAACATTTCCAGCTAAAAGAAAGGAGAGGTATCTGTCTTCATTGGTGATGAGTACACCTCAAGCATCGTCCAGCTCTGATATGAGTGGAAGAAGAAGGTATCCTACAAGAAGGAGTTTTACTCTACAAGAGTCTCTTTCCATCCAGGAGCCTGAGAAGAAAGAGGAAGATTTCCTGGAGAGACTTAACTCATCAGGGACTCCAAAGAAAGATGCAGTATACACCAGACAGGTGAAAAGAGGGCTAAGCTTTGGTTTATCTGTGCTTATTATTTTGATATTACAATAATACCTATTTTGCAAGAAAAGGAAAAAAAATTGATTTAGCATTTACTTCTTCATTTTATTTTTTAAAATATGTTGAATCATCATTTTGATGCAGAATTCTATTGAGGGATCATCCAAGCAACACATGGTTAACAAGGGTGTGGAGGACAATGCTCAACCAGGGGTTGGGAAAGCTAATTTGTGGAAACCATTAAACCGCTCGGTGGAAGGTGCAAGCAATACAAGTGCTGACAAGCTTCCTGTGCAACTTCCTGCTGCCGAATCAGTGTTGTCTGATAACGTCAACAAAGAAACACGTGAGATTAAGGCCATTCCGGAACATGATAACATATCCAAAGTCCATGGCAATGAAAATGAATCTAATCCTGCACCATCAGGTTCAGTGACATTTAGGAAAGCACAACGTGGCCGAAAAAGAAAACCAGCTGCATCCCAGGGACTTAATATTTCAGCACAGTATGTCATTGATGCAAATAATAAATGCGAAAGAAGATTTAAGCCAATTTGGTTCTCTTTAATTGCTTCCAATCACCAGTGAGATTTTTTTCCCTTGGCATAACAGAACTGAACTTTATTGTTATTTTTTCCCTCTTCATATACTGGTTTTACAATTTTGTAATTCATGGTTGCAGGGACGGCTATGCGCCCTTGCCACAGATACCCTCATGCTACTTGAGAGTCAAGTAAGTTTCACTAACCTCATGCTCTTCTATATTGTTATTTTCTTTTTTGCTTGTTCCTGCCCATTTTGGTTTTGGAAATGAAATCACATAGTTCAATGTCATGTTTCCCAGCACCAAGGATCTTTCAGTCTTGGTGGAAGTTAATAGACACAGATCATATCTTATAAACGACTAGATTTTAAGTCTGCACCATGTCCAGAGTATTCTTGTCTCAGTATTTAATAATTCACACTGATTTGATTAACATGTCTATAACATGCTTGCTCATATAACAAGGTTTCTATCAACTTCTCATGACCTTTAAAATGCTGCTCTGGTATCACAAAAAAGGAAATTTTTTTTCTTCCACTGTTCCCTTTTGTTACTGCAATAACTGATAGTATTTGGGAAATTTTTTGGTTTTGACACACATGCCACATATTTTCAGAAGCTAAAAAGAACCTTTTATTCCAATGTTAATACTATACCGCCTCCGTTGTTCGTCTATTATTCCAATTTTTTTACTGGGAGCAGTGCTCTTTCTTTCTTCTTAGTAAGCCTTTCAATACAGAACATGAAAAATTGTGCTACATTCCTTATAGTTAAATAAAAGTCACATTGTAGATTATGCAGAGGTTGTGCTACATTTAAGTTCATGGGTTAAAATAGAAGTTTATTATTTTTCTGTATGGTCAGTGTATGTGCTTGTTTTTGCTTGCCTTCTGTTGCCTTGCTATTTATTCAAAATAAGACACTGTCTAGTGATGATAACTTTTTAAAATGATCTCTTGAAATTGTCTGGCAATGCTTAGTGTAATTACTAATTTTAGTTTCTTGGAAGCACAGACATTCATTTCGATTTTGTTTTTCCAAATTCCATAGGGATGGCAATTTACCTGTTTCTTTCATAAAAAGGTATCTGGTAAAAAAGCTGGAACTTACTAGCGAGGATGAGGTAACGTTATCTATGTCCCTTTTCAATTAATATATATATATATCAATTCTTTCCCATTTCATTTTTCCATTGTACCCATTAATATGCCTAGTAAGTTGGCCGGACTTGAAATAAATCATTTGATGCTTAATACAACAGGTGGAGATCTCATTGCTAGGTAAGCCGGTAATTCCTACATTGCTACTGCAGAACTTGGTGGACTTGTGGTTACGGACAACACCAGCATCACAAATAATACAGACCTCCCCAGGAAGCTCAGCAAAGGAATATGTAATGGCCCTCACGTACGGTCGAAAAATGCAGCTCCAGTAGACCTGTTTTGGCTGTCCTTACGGTCGCAATTCCCGTTAAAAGGATGCAGTCGAGACAGTCTCAGCTGCTTTCACTGTTTGTTCTCAGCATGCATCTGCACTGAACATTTCATTTGTTTTTCCTTTTCATCCCTGCATGCATTATATGCATATACTGCTTTGCATGCAGTGTGATGTACCCGGTACTTCATAGTTCATACTCCAGCAGGTTTTCTCGTTTTGTAGAATTTTCTCACAGCAAAACCACAGATTTTGAAAAGAGACGCTAGTTTAAGTTATAAATATAACAAAATAAAACACAAAACCAATAAATTCTTGGAGCTTTACAGTTTTGTTAATCCGATTAAACATAAAACATTGGTTTTCTTCCTTTCTGACAATTTCAAAATCAAAAGAATGGTATGACTTCCTCTCAACCCTACTTTGAATCAGTGCCATAATGCGATTGTGGGGCATGGGAAAGGAAACGTGAATTTTCCATGAATGTTACGATTGGGCAGCCTCATCCCATGGACAGAAACTGATAAGTGGCTCAATTTTGCTTCAGTATCTGACGGCTCACAATCACTGATGAAAATGAATTAGCACTGCACGCATGATTACTACAAAAACTGCAGTTTTACAATTTGCAAGGTTCCAATGTATTCCAAAATGGCATGAACTGACACAGTTTCTTACCCATTTCCCCGTTTGCTCCACATTTACCATGAGAAAACAATGGTATATACAAGTTTCTCTGTTAAAAGCACTAAAAAACATTATTTGAACCAAGAAGAAAAGCTGAACAACAATTACAATGGAGCTTGGAGCGAAGTGGATGTGTTGGTTAGAGGCATACCCCCCGGGAGGCTGTAATCTAGGTACCTGACTGAAGAACGAAGAAATGCTACTGTCTGCAATGTAAACAAGCAAAAAAGCATTAGCCCAATCGCCAATTCATGGAAACCAATCCTTGAAATAGTCTTCTTACTTTCAACTAACAAATAAAAACAAGAAGATAACAAATTTCTTATAATTCCATGCTCGTGGCTGTATTTTCAGGGTCATCCTAAAAATCAAACATTAAAGACGTACGGCAGGAATCATCTAATGGCATCAGTTAGAAACAGATTTCGCCTGGCACAGATAAGATCAAACTCAGGAAACAACCATTACTGATGCATGGCAGGAAACAACTTTTTTTCTTTCTCCAATTAAAGATGTGCAGGAGGAGCTTAACACCTATTTCTACATGGATGTCTGGAAACAAATTCACCATGGTAATCACTAGTAATCAGCCATCACCAAATGATCAAGTCAGAACATTCCCAGGGCAGTTGTGTATGCATCCAATATACACAAGAAGTCATATGCAAAAGAAAACTCAGCTAAATCCAATACCTGACCAAGTCCTGATAGAGAATTTCAATAATTATATTCTAACAAGAAGTTATTCATGTCACTGTCCCATGTATGTGCTCATATTACATAAAGCATATGGCATAGACAAATCATTTCTCAACTGCAGTGGTACTGCAACGTTTCTCTCTTTGACCAATGGCCAGCACACACTAAAGGAGAAGAAAATATACAAGATCCATTTCATGAGAAAGAAAGAAACTCTAATTCCCCAACTGAAAGTTGCGAAAGGATTCAAAAGAAAAAAACCTCATATTGTAGAAAGGCATCAGATTATCAAACATCTGCTAGTTTCTACATATGACATCAAGTGTCGTAACAAGAAATTATAGGAAAGCATGTCCATTTCTTTCTTTTTAGGAGACTGTTAATTTATACCAGAGATTGCTGAACAATCCAACCGAAAAGGAAAAAGCCAAACCATACTATTATTTGGCACTTGCAGCAATATGGTCAGAAAGTGATGCCAACCATACTAACGTTCATTACAACCATCTTGGAAAACTACATTCTATTTTGTTCAATTGGAAACAAATGCAAAGAGAATAGATAATCCAACTTACACATGGAGAGCAAAAAAAAAAGAATGTCATATTCATAAGAAGTAATTTTATGCTCTTCTTTTGGAACTCAGAACTGAAAGGGAAATAGGAATATATGCAATTTTTCATCAGTCAGGTACGGCATTGATCAATTCATACTACAGTTACTAGAACTAACAGGTATAACCAAGTAATAGCCACAAACAAGTTGGTATGAGTTCTTGCTATTGCACCACCAAAATGTTTACATGTTATAAGGAACTTCAGCGTTATGTAGCAAACTGAGGTTTGAACGAAGTACATGAAAAAGAGTTATATATGGTAGTTTGGATGTAAAATACATAATCCTGAAATAGGTTCAGTTCTGCCTCAAAAGATTTTTTTCTTTTTGCTCGTCCAGAAAAGATTGTTGATAGAAAGATCATACGTTTGTCAATTATTCAAACATAAATCGTCTATATATGGGTATATATTCAGTTTACCAAACAAAGCTCCGACTGTTTTGACACAACAAAAAAACTATCAAGGCAGTATGATTACTGTGAAGACCACAACACATCTACATATTCTCTACATGATTTATATGCCAGTGGTACACAGTTTTCAGGTATCATCATGCTAAACATTATGCTTAGCTAAAAAGATATTTGCAGCTATGCTAGCATAACGGCAACATTCACTTTTTATGCAACAGGGCTTTCAGGGAGGCAAATGACATTTGATACGGTCGAATAAATAATTTTATAAGGACATTCTCAAATGAATTTAGTACCAAAAACAAAAACAGATGAATATCACAGATACCAATGAAGTATGTCTATTAAAATTCTAAACTCCCTGTTGTAAACAAGTATTTAGAAGCACAATCAATCCAATGGTAATGCTTGTCATCATACCAAACCCATTGTATAACTAAATCATTAATAAACTCGAATAAAAACCCAATTGAGTTTCAGTTTCTCATTAACTAACACTTCCAAAAGTGAAGACACAACCTAAACCAGCTTAAGAACACAATGCATCATACGTAACAATTTCCACCAAAAGTTCAAAACTTCCCCAAAATTCAACAAAACCCCAGAAAGGAAAGAAAATATTCAAAACCAACCCACCTCATAAAAGCTCGAGAACACCATGGAAACAGTCACATAATGGTATAATTCCCACTTGGGTCTTGATCATCCGAGAGCAGAGCACCATAAGGCGATTCTTGGTCATCCATAACAAGGTCCTCCGTGCCCCTAAACACCGCGTGCAAGGAAACCAAAGCCACCCCAATCACCACTGAAACGACGACGTTGAGCCACACATGGGTCAAGACCAGAGCCAACACCGTAACCAACCCAAGAATAATCATAACAACCCGGTCTCCGACAGTAAAGCCAAAGGCCTCGAGGGGCTGGTCACGTGAGAAGTAGAGAACGAGCCACGCGGCAAAGATGATCAAGAAGACGATGATGGAGACCGGGTGGTATATGAGGCTGAGGAAGAGCACGATCAAGAGGACCAAGGTGTAGTTAGAGCGGAAATGGGTCAAGTTCTGGGCCAGTCGGGTCGTAACCTCGGAGAGATTGGAGGGGAGGCTGAGTGCGGTCGGCTCCAGGAGCTCCCCCCATGGCCGAAGCGTGGCAATCGCTGATTGGCTCACTTCCTTCACCTGGGACACCAATCCGGTGGACATTGTGAAAGGGGTTCTTCAAAAGCCTTCGATTTTGGGGCGGAGAATGCTAAAATCCGAGCAAATCAGATGGGTCTTTCCGCTTTGTGTTTCTTTCGTTTCAGTCTCGCTGCTAATGGCGAAATGGCATTTCGTCAACGCTGTTGACCTACGCCTGGGATTAATCGGATTTTCTTTGACGGTTTGGACTGGTCACTCACAGTTGGTTCAACCCAAGAATTTGGGGCCCAACCTAGATCCAACTAGGGGTATTTGGGCTAAGCAAAGCCCAGTATTAAAGAAAATAAAAATTGTTTCTTACAAACGGCTCAGTTTTAAATCTACATCTTTAACTTATTAAAATGGTTGATAATTTCTCAAAAAAAATAAATAAAAAGGTTGATATCATATGTCTACACTAAAAGCTCTCGATCTAATTGCTTTCTAACAACATTTGTCAATGGGTCTAGTTTAGTGGAAAAGATCTCAAGTTTACAAGAGAGAGGGTGGTTTTTCACACACAATACCAAGGTGCAACAGTAATTCGAACCTGAGGCTACCAGTTTGCAAGTCAAAGCTCTTTTTCATTGGGCTATACCCCGTTGGCCCATTCCTAACTTTAAGATATTCTAATTGAGTGTTTAAATGATTTTCAATTCAAGTATTTTTTGAATAGATGATTTTTGAATCAATACCTAAAAATCAGACAAGTCGTATCATTGAAATACGATGAGGAAGGAAACTACACAAAAGTGCCCCTCTCAAATAAAATCAAGGGAAATAAGCTGGTGTAATCAGGTTTCAGAAATAGTGTGCTGAAATGATCATGCTACAAATTGTGTTCTAATATAATCACTTGGGGACGTGAAATGACCAAAGTGCCCTCCATATAAAAGCAGATCTATTGTGGAGCTATTGGCCATTGATTGCTGACCGAAAACTTCTGACCTCGCTCTCTGCGTTCTCTCATCCTCTCTCAGCATTTTATCTCTCCACCGTCGCTCCATGACCACCACCACTCTGTTTCTCCCACTCTCCCCTGTGTCAATTTCTCAACAAAAAAACTCAATCTTTATCCCCTATCTAGGGTTATCTGGTCTTACAAGTCCAACCCAGAAAAATAAAAGCTTAGCCAAAGCCTGGAGAAGAAATAATGGACACAATGGACAAATCAGAGTCGATTTGCTGCCTTCTGATAGCATTTACTTCATTGTGGGAATCATTAACAAGAAGCTCGATGTGAATCAGTTCCAAAATGTCCATTCTTGCCGCAATGGGCTATCAGATTCTTGTCTCGGATCGTTGAAATGGGGCATCCAGGTATTTATTTATAACCTTTCTGTTCTGATTACATTTGGACCTTTGCGTTTCTATTTTTATTGAAATCTTTTTGTGAGCTTTTCAATATGTGTGTTTCTTTTGGGATTCTTTCAATTGT